AGTTACTAAAATTTTTTAAAGTAAATACCTTCAAATAAAATTCTCATAAATAATTAATAGTTCTGGTTTAAAGCTATAGAAATCAGGACAAAAATACTTGTTCAAATTAATCTATTATTGATAGAATGTAGAATAAATAAAATAATTTTATCTAAGAAATAAATTAAGTCTTAATTTTGTTTATGATAAAATTAAACAAAAAAAAAAAGTATTATTTTACCTATTGTTATTTTACCGAATATATTTATAATATTTCTTCTTGAATATTCCTCAAATATTACCATAATACATCGGATAATATCTGATTGATTTTTTGTAAAGTAAACTATGTGAGATCTAATTACATTCTAATATATTTTATTTATTAAAACAATTATAAATGATATTCATGTTATCATATTGGTTGGTATTTCAAGTCATTAATGCTTTATCAGGAACGGTTAACCCTGTTTAACAGAGATATTAATACCAATATTAAATGTTAGACTGGAATAATTCCTTATATTTCACAGTTGAATAAATATATATACCAGCTTCTTACTAATATTCAAGTTACTAATCAAATAGCATCAAATATTTTATCATATTTGCAATTTCTAGTGGACGGGTTACAGATGAGGAAGTTTAGAATGTATTTTTACAATATTTAAAAATTGATACATCTCTGAAGACTTTGACCCACTATTTTGAAATACTAACACAGAAACAGAAATACTTGTAATAAGTCGCAGTTACTAGTTTAAATTACGAGGGTTTCTGGTATAGTTTGGAAATAAGAAACGATGCTTTGTAAAAAAGTTTAAACATCACTTACTATTAAAATTCTAATAAGAATATTATATATCAAAAGATATACCAAAACGAATATTTCGCTATTACTGATTATTTTTCATTTTATTTAGGGGAATCAAAAATTGTATACAATATATTTAAAATATAATTAGTCTAAATAGTTAGGATATTATCAATTTTAAGGTGTAATTAAATTCCAATTGATAGCAAATACCACTAAGTTTAGTCCAACCGCTTAAAGTGCTTGTAGCTCATCTTCTGGTTACGCTATGAAAAGTTAATTTAATTTTACTTCAGATTTTTATTATGAGCATACAATTAAGGACTTAGTTTTTAAATCATACGGAGTAACCACTTGGGCGAAGATAGATGAAAACAAAGCAGTAGACAATAACTATATAAATGTTCTTCATATACAGTAGAATCCAAATTCAAAATATCAGAACTATATAGGAGGAAAATTAGCTTAAGTGACATATTTCATAAATTCAACAAAGCAACTGATCTAGATATTCTACTAGACCTACACCTTCCCCTCCTTACCTTAATTATCAAATACTGGTGATCCCTTAGAAAAGAGTGTCATTTATGAACTCGATAATTAATATTCACTTTTTAATTGGCATTATTTCTCATACTCATTTAGAAACAATTAGATTTATTTGAATTTAAATTTTGTTAAGCAGAATTACTAATTTATAAAGACGATCACAAGTGTCAATTAATTTTCTGATTTGATGCTTGTGGTTCATTTAGGAGGAACACCTACAAATAGGAGCAATACAAGTGGATAGTTTAATCTAGCCTACTTTTACCCTTGTCTTAATTCTTATACTCCAAAATGCCATTATTCATGTTCTACATGCATAGGACCTCAATCAAATTAGTGTTTAAGTTGCACAACGTCCTCTAATAGATAATTATCATTTGATTTCAAATGCATCTGTAAGCTTGGATACTTAGATTTGAGTTTGAGCACATGTTATTCGATTTCAACAGCAACAGTTTAAGATTAATTAGTACCTCTATCCACTTCTAAAGAATATGACTAGTAGGATCCTTATATAATATGTAGTTATGGCTATTTTAGATATGATGACATATGTTATTAATGGTAATTGTTTGATATGTATATGTTAGTCCTAAATTGAAAAAGCTGTACTTTTGTCCGGAATGTATCTAATATACAAATACTTGGGTTTATAATCCGATTTGTACTAAAGATTATCAATAATATAATCAGAGTGAAAATAATACTTTTACTTAAGACATAATAGCACCATTATAAATACTTTTATTGAATATCGAGCCTTACACGGTTTATTTATTTAATGATGAACAGCTTACAATGTGTGCCTATTGCAATAGTTTATGTCTAACTTATCCATATTCTTCAAGTTGCCTTTAGAGTAATTATTATCATTTGCAATAACAAATAATGGTAATTTGTTCATAAGGGGCAGTTTTAATGGATGGAGAATGTAAATAATAATGCTATGAAGGATGTTAAAAATGCGATTATATTAATAAAGAATTTTTGTGTTTGGATTAAGATCCAATACAAATTGTGACTAGAAAATGTTAGTATATATCTACATCTGTCTGCAAGTAATGCTATGACAATAATAATTACTTTTTAAACATGGAGTAGAATGATTGTTATCCATGTACCATCCCAAATTGTAAATATTGCTTCTAATATTTAAAATCGGACTTTAATTACAATTCAATCTTTTAACATTAACCATTTGTTTATGATCAAGAGGATTTAGCTGTAGCTTGTGCTCTATGTCAAAGTGGTTATGCTTTTAGTTTTTTCACAGGACAATGTGAAAAATAACTTAACATCTTATTGGGAGATTCATGTTCCAGTTATTACATAAATTAATAAGGGAAATCAACATGTCTTGTTGACAAAGACTTTTCACTTAGTAGTACTGTTTACGATTGCAGATAATATTTGTCATAATGTATCACATGTACTAGGGTTCTTTAAAATACATATTATTGTCTCTAATGTGAATCTGGGTACTATTTGCATAACAATTATGGTGTTTGTATGTCTTGTATTGAATATAATCCTTTGTATTCAGAATGCGAATAAGTCCAAGTTTTTGAACCCTTATTTAAAATTGAATTGGCCCCTTTCTTTTTTAGTTTAACTAAATAATATCCTGGGTAACAAGTTCTGGAAACTTTGAAAATCAAAGTTAAGTCATGTATCAGTACTTATGGTATTTTTAGTGATACCATTTGTTCAAAAAGTGATTCAATAAATTGCGAATTTTATGATAGAGGATGCAGAACTTGTGCATCTACTAATGAGGGAACTAAAAGGCTTACCCTTATTAATTTAAAATGTTCCGATTGTCCTTATTTTTGCGAATATTGCAAGCCTCGTGAAATTCAGGACATATATTTAATTAATCCTTATACAAATGTAACTGCTACACTTCCTGAGCTTACTTACAGATGCATTCAAAAATCCAGTATTCATAAAACTGTATTTTTTGATAATCGTATACAATTAGTCAGAATATGCTCTCAAGAAATTCCAAAATGCGAATTATATCACATCTAGGTATCCATTTATTAATATATACAGAAATTCACAAATTTAAAAACCTTTTACTCAGCCATGATATCCTTAAGCACAACTAATGCCCTACAATATTATAATCTGAGAGGTAGTTCAGGATTTTCATTTTTTATTAACTCTAGCGCTACTTATTTAATGGATAATTCCTTTTTTTCTCTTTATGATATACCAAACAATTATATATCATAGATTGTAAGTCTTAAATATACAAAATTCACTTATTTTTCTTAAAGTATTTCTTATGCCTTAATATTTGGAAAGCTCAGATTTCTAAATTTTTAGGAAATTTAGTTTATTCAAACTAGTATCCTCTTCAGCTTAACTTAATCATCTTAATTAATTTTTGAATCACTTGGATCCATAAATCTTCTATTTGAAAACTGTATTATTGAAGATTCAAACACAACATTTAGTTATTATAATCAAATTTTTGATGTATCAATTTCATCTAGATCTTACTAAATTGCTGTATAAAACCCTTATAGAATCAATTTTACTAATGTCATCATTTCAAACATTTCCTTATTGAACACAACATTTCTTAATCTAACAACTGTAAATAAATAAATTAACCAACTTGATTATATTTATTTTTAAAATGTAACATTTTTTAATTGTTCATTCTCCTAAACTAATATTATAAATTTGTTGGAGGCGAATCAATATAAATATATTTCTATAATCCAATTGAGCTTTATAGATTGCAATTTTAGCAAAAGTTATTTTATTCATACATTTGGCTTACAACTAAAAGGCAAATTTATACTTTAAAATTTAGTTATGAAGAATTGTTTTATGAGAAATTCAGCTTTAATAACTATTCCTGTTACTATAACTACGACAATTAATGATTTGCATCTTTAAAGCGTTTAGTTTTACGATACTGATTTCATTCAAGTATCTTCTTCAGCATTTATTTAAAACATTATTGTGTAAGATAGTAAGTTTTCGAATTCCAAAATCATCCACAAAATCAAATCTCTCATATCCTCTGCTAAGGAGGAATATCTTATAGAAAATCTCTAAATATTCGATTGCTATTATTAGGAACTCAACATTGTATTAATGCCTTAATACAGTATTGAAGATATTAAAGTAACATTAAGATCTATTTAAACTTAAAGCCTTCATTCCCTTAATTATTATTTGAACATGGACTATCCATTGTTTCAATTTTAAGTAGCTCAAATAATAATTGAAGATATTAAATTGATACGATAACCTGGATCTAAAGATTTTATCATTAAGGGTTGCGAGTATGTTTCCATCTCAGATGTCTAAATACTATCCAATTTAGTTCAGATTTCATCTGATTCAAGCGAATTAATACAATAAACTTTAAATACTATATTTATCGTTGAGGCATAGTAATTGAAATTAGAAAACATTCATGTGTAAAATCAATTAAGTGTTAATGTCATTTTTTTTTATTTTAATCTAATTAAATTACAAGATTCATAAGATTGCTATTTAAGAATCTAAAATATACAACTTGATAATATTCAATTAATTAAACAGCAGTTTTCAGAAATATCAACAATATTTTATATTACAAGTTTGATTGCTTAAAATATATCAATTTCGGAATCTTAATTTAATGGTATATTCCTTAATGAATTTGTTTAAGATACTAAAATATCATCTGCAGCAATTGCTGTTATTGTTTCAGAACAGAGTAACATAAAATTGGAAAATAATTTAATAAATGATGTTGTTGTTCTGAATTCAAGTAATTCCATCTTCTTAATTTAAACTTAGTATACTATCTTAGAAAACATTACTAGTGTTAATGTAAATCATTTTTAATCTTACATCAATAAATATAAATAGAAATTATTAATGCAATTTGATTTGATAAACGCTCATTTCCTAATAAATTCATATGGAGGATTATATAATTTCTTAACCTAAAACCTAATAATATTTTCTTGTCATTTTGAAAATAGTGTAGGATTATGGGGAGGAGTCTTAAGCATCACAACTAAGTTTTTTGGATTAATTGATATCTAATAAACAATTTTCATTAACATGTCCACTAATGTTCATAAAAGTCAAGAGGGAAGAGGGGGTAGCATTTTCATTAATTCAGAAAATTCATACCTAAATTTAACTATTAAAAATACTTAATTTTTAAATTCAACAAGCGGCTTAGAAGGGGGTGTAATGTATATCAAACCTTCTCAATATTAGTGTTATTTGAAATTATAAAATGTTACCTTTAAAGACGTTTTTGCTGTTCATTACTCAGCTATATTTTTTTAAATAATTGAATCTAATTTTGATTAAATCTCCTCTATTGAATTATTCAATATTGAAATAGAAAATTAATTGTTACAATTTATTTCATTTTTAAAAGCCTATTCGATAGATCTAACTGATTCAAAAATAAATGAATAATCTGCCTTGTTTTCTCTTAGGAATTTGTATAATATTATGTATTATTTAAAGCTAAATTTACTTGAATGGTCTAAAAGTTACCGGATTTTTCATTTAACCTATTCTTTACATAACTTATGTAAAATGCCTATTTATGGATAAACTAATTCTATATAATATAACATCATTGTACAGTCCTCTAATCTATATTGAAAATATGCCATGTAATTATTAAATTTTATGATTTTAGAACACAAATCTGCACTCTTAATAAAATCAACCCTTATTACTTCCTTTAATGAACTTGATTAAAGTTTGATAAAAAAATATTCTTAAATTGAAAATATCAACTTGTCTAACCTAAATTTTGAATCCTTATTAGAAATAGTTCTTAATACCAACCTTACTTCAGCTTAAGTAGTTTCACTCAATATGCAGAATAATAATTGCAAAACTTGTTAATCTGGATTAGTTAATATTAACAATAAATAAGTAATCAAGAAGGTTAGATTGATAAATTTGTACTTCTTTTAAAATTCATGTGGTTTAGGATCTTGTTTATTCTTAAATTCTTTAATTAGTGAAATTTTTCACTTTTTGTCTTAATCTATATTTTGCTATAATTCTGCTCAAACTGGAGGTGCAATTTAATTAACCAACTTTAGATTGAAAATTCACTAAACATTCTTTTTATCAAATGTGGCTTTTGGTTCTGGAGGTGCTATCTATTATTAAACTTCAAATTAGTCGCAATTACTATAATTTAAGTATGTAAGCTTTGTAAACAATCAAGCCTAAATAGGAGGGGCTATTTATGATAAAAATAAATATAGTTTGGATTCCGTATCTTTCTAATTAATTAATAATAAAGCACATTATTTTGCCAATAATTTAGCCACAGAACCGACCCAACTCTCACTCCTAATCAATAATAAACCTACAAACAAAAAAAGTATAATGGTTGAAAATAAAACCATTTAGATTATTAGTTATTTAAATGATTCTAAACTAACAAAATTTATATATATGCCTAGCGGAGTTTCCTTAAACAGCTATTAAAAGTTTAATATGAAAACTAGTGCTTATTCTATGTTAAATTACAATTACACTCTTCAAGCTGTAAATTGTTTCAATGAATAAATTTATGATCTAAAACAGACTTAGTGCTAATTAAAGATCAATTAAATACAGAAAAATAAATCATAAGAAATAAGTAGAAACTCTGAGATTAAAGAGCTGATATTTGATGAAGAGGAATAGAGCTATGATCTAAAAGATCAGGTATTTACTTTAGATCCATATCAAAATGATAGTTACTATCTATAAATTGACACTTCCTGCAATTCTTTTTCAACTAAAGATTATTATCTAAGATTCTTTGTAAAAACTTACCATTGTTAAATTGGAGAATATTTTGAAAACAATAAATGCTTAAAATGTGATAGCTTATAAGGATATTATTCAGTTGAACTTAAAAGTACTTAATGTAATAGAATGAACATTTAAATGATAAAAAGCACTACTGGAGCAATGATAGAACTATAACCTGGCTATTGGCGACCCTTCTTTAAATCAAATAAAATTGAGTAATGCAAAAAATATCCAAACCGATGTCTCGGAGGATGGGATGTATCAGATAACTCATGTTTTATTGGATCATTTGGAGCATTATGTGAAGAATGCGACTTATTTAATCTCAGAGGACAAGGATCTTATCTTAACAATAAAGAAAGCGTCTGCCAGTCATGTGGTAAATTTAGTGTTTAGTTAATATTCATGGTTTTAGAGTCTATATGGATTATTCTATTAATAATTCTGACTGTCAGAAGTAATAACCTTTCAAACAAATAGTTATTTAAGCTTAAATGCATATATCGCCACTATCAAACTATCTATAAGCAAATGATGGATTAAACAAGCACTCTTATTAAAATGGCTAATAACAATTTTTAAATATTGTCACTAATTAGCACATTATAAATCAGCATTTTCTCGAGTCTGTCAAACTTTGTAATATTTTTAGGAGATTCTACTTATATTATAACATATTAACTTGATTGCTCTATTCCCTCAATTGCAACAATACAATACGAATATGCTCACTTTATAATAGTTTTACTTTTACCATTATTTCATTTTGGCAGTTGTTGTTTCGTATTTCTAATCTTTCTTGTTAAAAAATATGTGACATTTTCAAAATCATATATATACTCTTCTATTATTTATATATACTGTTTAAATTTACAAAACATTATGAAATGGTAATCTATATTAATATTATTGATGTTAGGGGCGTATCCTTAATCACTAAACGACAATTATCTGGGATTGATTGGATCTAAGCTAATGTTGCTAGTAGATATGACACGGAAACACATAGTCTTTGGTCAAAAAGATTCATATATCCAATTTTGATTCTATTAGGAGTCTTAATTCCAGCCTTCCTTTTTGTTTAAATGAAAAAAATAAGAAAATCTTTGGATGATAGGAATTCAATTTAGAAGTTCTCATTTTTGTATAATGAATACACTGATAAGTCTTATTATTGGGAAATCATCAAGATGTTACAAAAGATATCAATAATTTTAATCGTAAATTATTTTGAATAATCAATATTAATAAAGGGAATTTTTATGTTTCTTATAGTTTTAATTTACTATAAACTTTGCTTAGAAATTCAACCCTATAAATTATAATCCATAAGTTAGATTGATTGTAAGATTTCGTTTTTATTATCAATCACTCTTATTTGCAGTGTTTTACTATATGTGATCTAATAGGAAGACCTATTTTATTTGAGTTATGCAACACAAATTATAATAGTGTTCCTGATATACAAATAAGCAGAATTTCTTTTGAGGAGGATTTTGATAGTATATGTTTAAAGACTCAACCTACAATTAGATAAGCTAAGGCAGGAAATTCTCTTCAGATTTCCAAGAATATATATTTAATATGTGTGTCTGAGACCATACTTAATGTTAAGAAAGGAATAGCAAGAGAGAATTTAATTGAGATTCAAAAAGATTCGATAATATATAAAAACTTAATAGAGATACGTCAAGGAGAAAAACATCTATTTTAGCCATACTTAGAGAGAATCAAGTTTGATTGGATCTTACCCTCCAACTTATAATTCGAGTCGCCGTCTTTACACTGGAGAGAATGGGCAAATATTAAAATCAAGTGAATGAAATATTTTTTTTTTGGGCTATTTGGATTATAAATAAATTAGATTATAAAAAAATCATTATTTACAATTAAGTATGAATATCGCAAATTAATTAATTATAATTATAATCGTAATAAATAAATAAATAACGATTTCATTAAAAATCTAATATCGTCTTTGCTACACATGGTCTCTTTATTCTTGATTGATGTATTGCAACTCTTTATGGTAAGGTGAGCGCTTATAATTAAAAATATGTTAAGAAATTTCTCTCCAAATTGTCAACATTTAATTACCTTCTATCACAAGAATATATATAATAAATATATTGATTGGATATCTTTTATGAAGAATCTGATTAAATGAAATTTTTTATTATTATTCGGGAGCCGAAAATTCCTCCTTGAAAATTTATTAAATTGGAAATAAAAGAAATTCCCTCTCTTACTTTAATAATTTAGGAAATGTCCCAACATGCAGGTAGTAAATCTTCCTTCGATATATAGTCTTCTAAAATTTCTTCATTTATGCCCATCATTCTTAAGAATTCATAATTCATTTTTTTCTTAATTCCGATCAACTTCCCATCAACGAAGAGAAGATTCAGACGTTCATAGGGCTTATCAATATTTTTTTCTAATTAGATTCTTGCATTTTCAGTTATTGCTTCACATGGTAATCGGCTATAAAAATTCATCATTTCATCATCTTCTAAATTATGTCTTCCTTAAAATCCAGTATTTTGACTAAAAAATGATAAAGTATATTCAACGAATTCTTTATCATATTTCCCTTCTAAAATTTTACCTTTCATTAAAAATTTGTCGATAAATAATGCTCCTAATGGTCGACTTGTATATCCATTTCTTTTTTATGATTACTCGACTCTATATGAACATGTAACTTAGTATCTCTAATTCCCTTGCTCTGCTTGATTAGGTCGAGCTAAATATAAAGAATGGTGATTACATCTACTTGGTTTTACAAACTAAGTTTTCTATTTGGTTATGGGCTTATGCAAAATTTAAGAAGACTTTTTCTTCTAAAGCCTGTTTCTACTGGAAGAAGAAACCAAGGAATGAATTGAAGTCATAAGATGCAAATATTAAAAGGAATGATAAATACTTAAAACTGGCAATTATGAATGCCCTTTTAAAAGTCATAATTAATTACAACTTAATAGTAATTAGCTAAAGACAAGATTTGTAATTAATGTATTATGCAAATGATAAATTTTATAAATACATACTTAATAATCGATATTATAATTTATGATCACCGAAACTATCATACTTTATAATTTTATTTGTGGCTCACTTCAAATATTAACATTATTCCTTTTCTCCAAAAACATTCTCCCTTTAATCTAATTTAAAAATATTTGGTAAATATTTTATGTTAGCTTTTCCAAATATATTATTTAAATAATTAATTCATTTATTCCAATATGTCAAAATACCTATTAGTTTCTTCACCAAAATATTGGGAGTTTATCCCATAAGTTCATACACAATTCAAATGTATTTGAAACTTGCCACCTTACTTAAAGGTTTGATTTTTTATTTTTTATTAATAAATATTAAAAATTTAATTTATAGCATTTTATTAAAGTTAATATCTATAATCTATAATCTGCTATATAACTCTCCATCAATTTTAATTAATTAATATATTTTTCTTTACCAATTCCAGCAACCTTCATTTTTCATCAACTAAATAGAAATGATGTAAATTTAAAAATATAAAATACACTAAATTATAACAAATTGTAAAATCAATGTTGTTTCCAAGCTTAATACTACTTTTAAATTCTATGTAAAATTTCTATCTCCTCAATTCTTTTCCTGTCTTCGTAGTATTTTTGAAAATTTATTTGAATACAGCAATCCATTTACGGCTTCTTTACTATATTTCTAAAACATAAGAATATTATGAGATCATAGACAAATATGGTATCAATTTTCTTTTCTATTGAATAGGTTTGGTGTTTTATTAATAGGGTTTTTAAGTCTCTAAAATCTATTAATATATGGGTTCCAATTACTTGAGCCCAAAATGAAAACACTAATTCTTTAAAATTTATCATTTATTGCCAATAATCAAAGTATTCATTTTCCTCTAATACTACTATCCTTATAAGCATCTCCTCTTTCTATTATAGAGAACTTTTCTAATTGAAATTAAGCATCATATAATTGCTCTTTCCATTTTATGAATTCCTTTCTAGAAATATCGAAATCTCTTTAAGTGCTCTATCTAATTTTCTACAAATCATTTTAGTGATATTCAGAAGTCATCAATTCAAGCCAATCTTGAGGATCAATCTCTATGATTCCTGATTCGTTGCAATCAAACAGCAGCATCTAGTTTAAGGATGAAAACACACAATAAATTCGTTTGTAAAGTAAAAACATCGACTTAATATACAAATCTTCTGGTATTAAGTTCGCTTAATCAATTTTTTTTTAACTTTCCAATTCTTTGGCTACTTACAAGTAATAATATCCAATGGATTTTTCGAATTCTAAGTGATCTTTTGCTTTTCTGGCTCTATTCAATATATTTTAATGAGCCAAATAATTTCTATAAATAACATTTAGATTTACAATGTTTGTCTTCTTCCATACTCTTACATTTCATCTTATTCCTTATCCGATAAACTTATACTTGCACTTTAGAGTAAAAAATTATTTAAAGTCAAATCTTCGACTGAATCTTATGTTGATAGTGTATACATAGGATCCTATTCAATTTTGATCGCTTTATGATTAAAGAAGTCCTACCATGAAATCCTATTATTTTCATCAATAACCAGCATCCGCTTTAAAAGATCTTTAGTTGGTTCAGATAATGTACATCCTTCAGGAATGAGATTGTCAACTAGCGATTAATGTATAATATACTTTTTTATTGAATTTTCTTTAATAATTTTAATGGGTTGACTTCTTCCCATGGATACTCTCTAAATAACATAAAGTAGAAAGTAACACCCAAAGACCACATATCACTTAAACTATTATAGGATTCTTATTTTATTATTTGTGGAGACATGAAAACTGGTGTACCACTAAAAGTCTGAAATTTTCCACTCTAATTTGATTGATCCATCACTTTAGCTAATCCGAAGTCTGCAACCTTGACTTACCCATTATGTAACAATAAGTTTTATGGTTTTATATCTCTATGAATAATCTTTTTGCTAACTAAATATTTGAATGCAGAAGCTATTTATCTAAAGAACACAACCACATCTTCTTCCGAGAGATTATGATTCAAGATAAAATCTTCAAGAGCCCCTTGATTACAGTATTCTGTAACCAAATACATATACTCTTCATTCTTTTTTGCATCAATAAAGCCTACAATGTTTAAGTGATTTATTTTTCTTAACACATTGATTTCTTGTAATAGTGACACTGTTACTTCTGGAGATGCTTTGACAGGTATTTCTTTAATGGCTAAGAATACTTTTTCATCACCAGTTCCTTTAGCGTAAAACCCCAAGTAAACAGTACCACAACTTCCTTTGCCCAACTATTTCTAGGTGTCTATCATATATTTATCAATCTAAATGTAGCGAGATTTCATTATAATATATTATTATTATATTGATAACAAAAATATAAAACACATATTTCTTAATAATTATATTAGTCATATTTCCTTTTTTGCATATACATATAATTATAATTATGTAGTTGAGCAGAATCAAGGATAAATATTTAATATCCAAACAAGAAGCACTTAACAAGGTACAATTCCAACAAAAGTATTAAGCATTCTCTTGAAAAAAACTAAAAAATTGAAGATGTTTAAAATGTTATATGGCAAACACAAAAACAGTCAAATAATAATTAAATTATCTACATTATGAATTTATAAACACATAAATTAATCATTCAAAAATAAAATCATCTTAATTTTTACTTATATCTTAAATCATTAAATTGAGAATGTCAAGATTGTATCCAGCAATTTTCTTCTCTTTCTTAAAATAGATTTGTAATTAAGTTCTGATATTTATCACTTTCATCATAATTTCATGTGAATTGAATCCAAATCCATCAACCTTATTAAAGATATAAGTTATTAACTTATTAATGATGATGGGATACTATTTTAATGCTAAATCTTAATTCATTTCGTCTATCAAAGTTACCAAATGTTGATGATGCAAAAATTTCATAAGGGAACTCAAGTCTGAATTTTAGAGATTATCAAATAAATACTCAGTGACATTTTTATTATAAAATAGATCTTCATTTGGAACCTCACCTTAATCAATAGTTTCTCTATACTGTTTAATCTTTTCCAGAATGTCCATTAATTATTCAGTTTCTAATAGTTTTTATTATCCAATCTACACTAAAGTTAAATCTTTTTTGACTTAATCTAAGCCTTAATCAAATCCAGTTTATTATTTATTCTTATTTTATAATTCTTACATCAAAGTTTCTTGCAATCTCTTTTCCTCCTCTTCCGAAACAAAAATTTATTCTTTGGTTTGAACATATTTTCTAATGACTCCATTTTTTGTTGCTGAATAAAACAAATCTCCAATACACCCAACAGCCATTGATTATACTCCAGCTAATGCTTCATTAAATTGCAATATTAATTAATATGTATCTCCATCCCAATATTTAATGATATTGTCTTTGCATCCACTAAAGAAATAGTGAGTTTCATTTACTGTTTTTATTTAAATAACTTCTGCTGTATGAGCTTTAAGGGTTTTCTTACAATTTCCAAAATCAGTTGCCCATAATTTAATGCTCTTATCTGCACCTGCTGAAATTACTATTGTATCATCTGAAGTATAAGCAAAAGTTAAAACGGGTAATGAATGCCCATATAATTCAAGATACAATTTATGAGAGTCACAGTAATAGATTGATACAATATTATTCATTTGGGCAAATGCATAGTAATTTCCATCATATGAAAATTAAGCACTTCTAATATTTTCCTTTAAATAGATTGTATTAACCACTTAGAATTCCAAGCATTTTTAAGTTTTATTAAAAAATAACTCGACAAAATTCACTTTCTTATCTATTTCAGTTGTCATTATTACTAAACCATTAAATGCCTTACAATTCTCATGGCATTCAATACTGTTAATATTTGAATTATGAATTTTCTATTCAAAAACAATTTCATTTTGATTCATATCAACCAAATATAAGGTTCCTTATTCATCCCCTACCATAAAATATTTATTTTTTGGCAAAATGCATAAAGAAGTTAAATTACTTGTATTAGTGAGACAGTTGACCTACTAAGCCGTTTCGTTATCAAATTAATAACATTTGTTTGATGCGATTACTACCAATTTGTGATCATTTTAAGTTAATTTAATTTATTTGACCTGACCTGTAATCTATTAAATTGCTACATTATTATTTTCATCCACATTATCATTATTTAATTCTTTGATTACTATTTAATTGTCAGATGTGAATATATAGATTTTCAATAGGTTTTTAAATACCATTGCTTAAAAATATACAATCTTATTCAATTAAGATATGACAGTGCTATAAATTAGGGATTGACTAAAGTTTTCAGCTTTTTGTAGCTTCTTTCCTTATTTTGACTTATAAACTTCAATTTTCTTTTCATTATCTAAAATATTGAAAAAACTTACTTAAAATCAACAATTTTTATTAAACGAATTGGCATTGGACTGCTCTAATAAAGGATTATCTTTTAATAATTCCATCATTATCAATCTGACACTTGCCTGAAATCAATTAACATGATTTAATAAGAACTTCATCAGAATTGGTGCAGATAAGCAAATAATTTTCGTAGACACATAAACATGTGACTTCACTATGCATACTTGATAGAGTGGCTATAGAACATTCTAGATTCAAATCCCATATTTTGACGAGTCCATCTTTACTACCTGATACAATGAATTATTAGGTTATAGCAAGACTTTAATCTTCAAGGCTAATGATATCCAAGGCAGTTATTTAATTTGAATGTCCTATCAATCTAAATTACAATTATTAATCTGCTAGATCCCAAACAATAATAGAAGTGTCACAACTTCCACTTATTAAAACTGCCTCACTCAAAAATACCAATTAGGTTATTTCACTCTGATGGTTAAAAAATCTGCATTAAACTTCATTATCAATCAGATTATATATTATTATTTCACCATCATGATATCCTATTGCCAAAGTGTTGTCTTTTATAGCAATTTTTGTAATTTTTATGTTCTTACCTTCAATTACTATTTATTAAATAATCTCTTGTGTCTTTATATTTAGCAAAAGCAAATATTAATCTACTATTGTATATGCGATATCGTTTATTATTACTCCTCCATTGTTGCCAATACTACCAAAAAGAGTCTCAAATTTATATCCAAAATAGGCTTTTACCATAAATAATTAATTAATTATTTTTAATGAAATTCAGAGAAATACTAAATAATACTTAAAAAAGCTAAATAAATCATCAGCTTCAATTAATGTGATATTTAAGAATTATTTTATATGAATTAATTAGAGATTTATTTAGATTCTAAATAATTTTGAGGAAATAGATAGGTGAGGATAAGAAGTTAATATGCAAAAGGAGTTAGTTAAGTATTTCAATTGAAATATTTAATTATTATTAATATAATTTTTATTAATTAATATGGTATTGGCTAAGGTAGCATTAGGAACAGCAGGTGCAGTGACTGTTGGATATTTACTTGTTCCACCTTTCAATAGAAAGTTGGAAAGAAACGTTCTCAGACCAATTAGAAATTATAGAAGACACTTACAGTAAGAGGATTCATTTAAAACAGAAGTAAAATTTGTCATGTAATTTTCTTAGGAAGAATTCTATTAATTTTTAGGAAGCGTAGCATTAGGGAGCTTGAAAATGTTTACAATCGAAAGCGATTGAATAATTATTACATATTAATATAAAATGAAGATAAAATTAAGTAGCTCCATTTATTAATTTGAATAATTTTTGGAAGTTTATTCCTTGTACTATTCTTTTAATGTATTCGAATGCTGATAGATAAAATATTCGAAGAATTGAATAGTCATATAAATTATGTAGAAAATTGAATGAATATGTGATTGATGTCAAAATTAATTATTCAGAAATCCAAATGAAGATCTTCTGCTACTTCATACTATCTATGCTAACTTGACTTTAGATTTCTTTTCTATGGTTATTATTGTTTTTTCTTCTTTAAATCCTCTAAGACTTATTTCTCATAATAATTTGGAATATGTTGAAGATATATTTCTTCTTTTAATCTCAAATATCGTTCATCTTTCTCTTTATTTAATGCAGTTTTAGGAGCGAAGGTATTATATGCATTTCCAATAAAATTAATATTATTCTACTAGTAGTTAGTAGGTGTTCCTTAATTTTTAATCTAGCTTTGCTGATGGACAATATTGTGAGGATTTGAAGACTTTGATGGTCTTTTAGGTATTTCTGATCGTTATTAATTGATTCCAATTACATTCGAATTCTTCTTTTTAGGGATGAATTAATATTAATTTCCTATTTAAGGATTTCTGGAATTTGGTTGATCTTGAATTGTTTTATGAAGTTATTATGGATTATTATAAGAATGTCGAACACTAATACTTTTGGATGATATCTTTTATTAAAACATTTCTTTGGGATCATTCATATCAAATTATCTCAAGTAATCAGTATTTTAATAGTCATTTTAGTCAACTATTTTTTCCTCTGCAAATTCTACGGAATCACTTTTGAGTCTTTAGTCTCTGTGAAGTTCAAATTCATGATCTAGATCGTCTAACTATAAAAATATTTGCTTTTTATTTTTATTTCCATCTTTTCTTCTAGAAATCTCATCGTCATCATTCTCAAAATCAATAAGATCAACTGATTATTAATCCTCATTTTGATGATCTAACATCTTTTATTACTACTCTTCTAATTATTTAAGTCTTAATTCCTCCTCCTCTTATAACATTTTAAGCCTTTACTATTCTTCTTATTCCAATAATTAGATTCTTTTTTATTCCTCCTCCTACTATTTCTTTTTAAACTCTTCCTCCTTCTTTAATAATAATAATTATAATTCTTCTTGCTGTCTGATTTCTTCCTCCTATTTCAGCCTTAATTCTTCTTCTTGTTATTTAAGTAATAGCTCTTCCTACAATCTTTACTTTTCCTTCTCCTATTGTATTCTTAACTCCTGTTGTTCTTTTTCTTTTCTAATTTATTCTTCTAGCTGTTTTTGTAATTCTAATTCTTTTTATTTGAAAATTCTCAATTCCTCTTCTAATTTTAATTACTCGAGTCTTTCCATTTCAGCCTTGTTTTTTTTCTCAATTTCTAATTTTTCCAATTCTTATTCTCTTAATAATTTCTCTTGTAATTAGAGTTAAAACTTAATTTTTTCTTACTTTTCTTTTTCTAATTCCTACTTTAATTCAAATTCTCTTTGCTCTTAAAGTGCTCTTTATCTTTGTTATTCTTCCAATTAAGATGCCCATAACCTTTCTTTTTCTTCCTTCTCTAATAAAATTTCTCTTTCTCTTCTTTAAGTTTCCTTTAGTATTCCTTCAGCCTTGATTCTTTCA